AAAGTACAGTTTTATTCCCTTACTTTTATTTTTGACTCAGTCAACAGGTAGTATATATATATATATATATATACTTAGGAAATTCCCCCTGGCTTAGCAAACGCAAACTTCATTTCTAATGGTTGACCCGAAAAGCTAAAACAGTATAAGATTATAACTCCAAGCCAAAAAATATAATATGATCTGACCAAATTACTTTCTATCAAAGATGTTAAACTGATGAACATTTCATATGAAGTACATCTTGAGATGCTTTCTTATCGTTTCGAGCATTTTTCTAGGATCAGTAAATGCTGCTAAACCAAAAAAGCGTTATGAAACTTCTCAAGTTACTGATTCCGTTGTTTGGCTTGCACTCGTGCTTTTAAAGCACACACGCGAAAACAACCACACTCTTAATGGATATCTTTAAACGTGGTTTAAATCTTTATTGTTTTTTTGTATGTGTACGTACAGCCAACTGGTTTCAAACGATGAATAAGCAAAGCCATTTTACTCTTAACTTTGTGCTATTAGAAGCACCACACAACATTTTGAAGTCTTTACTGCTTGGGTCGCCAAAAGGTGCATACTGTAAACCCACAAAACATGCTATAAATATCATAGACTTGTAATAAATTACGTCAAAAACTTTTCGCTAGAAGTTAGCTTTTACCACTATTGATGTTACTACAGATAAACCTTATTTAACTTTTAGATAATTTACCATTATTTGTTTTAAAAAAGTAAAAGAAAAATACACAAATTAGCAAGCAATTTCCTGGTATTATTCTTGAAAATCTGTACTGACGTACCATCATAGAAGCTAATAAAAGTTAAGACTAAAATATAAGTTTATAAAATAATTCATGTACAAGCGCAAATAAGAAAAATGTTTAATGTTTAAACTAATATTTAAAATAAAATAGAAATTATTATTAAAGTAAAAAGCAAACGATCCTGGTATATCATGTTTATGTAAAAAGCATGCAAGTTAAAAGCGAATAAAACAAAGTGTTCAATTTTTAAACATGATCTGCGAAATATAGTAGGTATTAAATACGTAAAATTGTTTTGTTCTGACAGAAAAAAAAAATTGATTAGTTATTAACCATAAGTGAGGACTAATAGATTTACATGTTCATTTATTGAGATCAATTAATGATAACTATATACTTTCATTCTAAATGATAAAACAAATTATAGAATTATTAAATTTTGGGGGGTTCTTACGGATGATTCATTTCAACTAGTCGTGACGAAGTACCATTACAATGCTAAATTTATAAGACTAACAAGTAAATGAAAAAGGCATACGCGCATATATATATATATATATGCGTGTGTGTGTGTGCAAAGATATATGTTATTGTAATTTATATTTAGTATAAATATAAAAGAAAACATTTTACATGAAAAATTACAATTAAAACATGTATTTTACTTGCTGTTGTATCTGTACATTTAACTACATATATAATCTTCATTTCTAAGACTAAAAGTCATAATTCTGACAAATTTAATTCATATAAAAGATAAACCTTTTAAAGTATTTTTTGAAAGCGATAAGCGCTTTAAAAATCACTCGTTAAATATGGGTGTATTATAAAACGACTAGGTGTCTAACTCAGTTTTGTAAACTTATTCGGCCTTATGTTCTCGTCAGCTTGTTAAAATGATGATTTTTTTTGTCATGGAAGAATTTGTAATCTCTCAAATATGTAACATTATAATATCTTCCACTGGGATATATATTCTTTGGTTCAAAAATTCTTTAATATCTAAATGTATTGTCATTTGAGTTATTGGTGGTCTGTAATACGTTTTTGTACTTTATTTTTCAATTTATCCGCTAAGTTTTTAATATCACTATTAAATAATTTCTGTTTGTATCACCTGCATACAAACATTTTACAGTTATACAACTAATAACTCAATTATGTAAATCGGATAAGAAATAGTTCTGAAGATGAAACGTGTTATACCAACAATTTTAGCGCGGCCGCAAATGAAGCATCGTTATTAACTTTTTCGTAAAATTAAAACTGCACGTTCTAGTTTTACATAGGCCATAAAAATAAATTTAAAAAGTAATTTCAGTTGCATATTGATAAGGATTATTCAATCAACTTCCATGTTGAATAATAAAAAAATACTTAAGTAAGTAAAAACAGCTGAAATATCAGGCAGGCGGTTGCACTGCTTATGTAGGGATGGCTCGGACTATTTATCGAAATGGTGCTTTAAATATCTCCTTAATAGGTCATCAGAACTTTACAATGCTACACAGTATTTTCTTTTATAACAATATTTATGTAATTACTGAGTCACAAGTTCTAGGAATGTCTGTAAATATTATATCGAAAAGTTTGAATTTCTTGTTCTTCTTTTTTCTACTTCTTTTTTATAACATGATAACTCAAAAACCAAAATAATGATGTCCACCAATTTCATTGAGGTGACATAGTTTCAAACGGAGTATCCGCTTTTATAAGTATTAATTAACTATTAGAATTTAAACAATCATAATTCTAGTGTAAACATTACCCTTGGAGTTAGTTTTCTTACAGAAATCTGGTGTTCCTTAAAAAGCTTAAGTACAGGGTAAAACAGGAATTACCAGTCAGTAATAGACAAACAATAACTATTACATTTGGAACCTTAACGTATTTAGAAGTTGGTTATAAACACAACTTCCTATATCTGTTGAAATACTGCATTAAAAACAAGCAAATAAGTAAAAAAAAAACTTTTCAAAAAAGAAATTCAATGTAGGAATAACTAATATCATTTTTTCATAAACAATGCAAACAAGAAAGTATTAATAGTGCATAGAATGTTAACAGACAAAAAACAGGATAAATTAAACTCAATTGTGATTGAATAGTTATATATTGTTGCGTCATCGAGATCACGTGACAATTCTCACGCTCTCTTGTTTCTAGAACTATCTCGTACCTTGGCG